TGAGTGTGGAGTGGAGACGAAGGGCATAAGATGAGCTGGAAAGGTAGTATGTGCCAAATCAAGGGGGTCCTGTATGGTATGCTAAGGGTTTTGGACTTTACTTTAAGGGCAATGGAAAATCATCAAAGGGTTTGAGGCAGAGGAGCGACATGTTCATCCTTGCATTTCAGAAGATCACTTCTGGCTGCTAAGTGGAGGATAGATAGGAAGAGAGCAAACTTGGCAGTGTGGGGACCAATTAGGAAGCAATTGATGTAGTCTAGGTAGGAGATGACTATAGTTGTGGGTGCAGCAATGGAGAAAACTGCATAGGTTTAATAAATGGGGTAGAATTCACAGATATTTATGATCAGTTGATTGATTGGCTATGGAAGTATGAAGGAAAGGATGACTTCCAGATTTCTGTTTGAGCAAATAAAAAAATCCAGAAATATCAGTTTACAATCAGTCCAGGGAATACTTGTCTTTCCAGTCCCATTGGGCAGGAGGGCTGCAATATCCAGGGAAATCTCTTCAGGTAACCAGAGTCAGACAGATAGGATAGTGAGGGTGGGGAGAGGAGTCTAATTAGCTAAGATGCAAAGAGGAAATGTGTAGTTCACACACCATGCAGTTTGACACACACACAGTTCTCCTGGATCCCTGATCTCTTAGGTCTGCAAAACCTGATCAATGGGGAGTGAACCTGTGCCCTTTATCCATCCTTTTGCTATTGCATCTCTTCCCCCTTCTGATGTTCTCCACGGCCTAGCAGCAAATAATATCCTGTGAACCACCTCAGGTGCTGTGTGTGGTTCTAACTAATGTGTATCCCAGGCAGCAATTTTTAAAAATTATTACCTGGGACTTATCAAGAAAAACTTGATTTAGAAACAAATGCTTCCAGGGTCACTTAACAAGAGCACAGACTTTATGCATCACCAGGCAGCTGGCACCCATGTCACCTATATATGGAAGAATAGAGCTTTCATCTCTATTAGCACCAAAGACACTTCATGGAGTAAAGGCAGCTTTTTCTACCACTACATATAAGCATTGCGTGAATATTGTAATTTTTCTGGTAGTTGATCTAATAAACCCTCTTTTTTTGGGGGTGCTTGTTATCATTTGGGAACTCTATACGGAGTAAAATCTTCCCACATATTGTATGGAGCAGAATTCATAAGTCAAATGCTAGGTCTGGCAAGGACTTCCTCAGCACCCTTCTTCAACAGGATTATTCTAATACATTCCCAGGAGGAGCACATAGGGTGAGAAAAGGCCTGAGGACTACACTCTGGGAATGGTAGCATTTGGGGAGCCAGCAGAGGAAAGGAAGGCCAAAAAGAAAGCTGAGGAGAAACGGGGAGTAAGAAGAGGATCCGGAGAGAGTAATGTCATGGAAGAAATCCAAGGGAGGAAAAATTTTCAAGGAGGCAAAAGTGGTCAACAGCATCAAATGCAGCAAAGATTTCCAATAAGGTCAAGGCAAAAAAGTAACCTTTGAATTTTGTAGCATGGAGGTCATGGACATCCATGATTTGATCTGTATCAGCAGAAAATGGAGGCAGAAGCCACAATGCAGTGAGTTGAGCAAATGAAAACAAGTAACTGCAGAGCCCCCTTTAGAGAAATTTAGAAAGAAGAATAGACAGTAGGTAAAAAGCGGTATGAAGTTAAAGATTCTGGTTTGTCTTTTTTAAACATATGGTATAAACTTGAACATGGGTATACGGTACAAAAAGATACCAGTAGAGAAGATGAATTTGAAAGTAAAGAAAGTAGAAGCTGAGAGATGGAGCGAGATGCTGGAGGCAAGGAGAGGAGGTGGGATCAAGGACTCAGAAGGACTGGACACCTGAACTTTATAGGCTAAGGACATAGGGGTGGGGACAAGGGTGTAGATAGGGTAATCAATAAAGTGGGAGTAGACAAGAGGTTGAGATATTTGATGCGTAGTGATATCAATATTTTCAGTCTAGCTGAGGAAGGGAAGGAGGGCTGGATGCAGAACAAGAAAAACCTTACAAGGTAAGTATTATCCTGCCATGGACATGTTATTGTTGCCTTTGTTGTCATTTGTGCAGCATCCATTCCCCCTTCTGTTGGTAACAGCACCTTCGTTTTCTATGAGGCACATCCCCTTACCACTCTAAGTCATTCAAACAAGAATCACCCAAGTCCCACAACCCACTTCAGTGTTGGGCTGCTAACCCATAATTAGATCAAAGTGATCAATTCAGAGATGAGCACATGACTAAATCTGAGCTGGTGAAAATCACATCCAGGAATTTTCCTGCAACTAGAGGTGCTGGTGGAACGTAAGTCTGGTGGACATCTTGCCACCAGGAACTATGAGCCTGCCTGAGAATGAAGCAGAGCTATGGGATGGAGAAAGACAGATGCCTGATAATATATCACTGTAACACCTATATTTACTTCTGCCTGAAGTCACATAAGTCAGTAAGTTTCCTTTTTGCTTACACCACTTTGAATTGGAATTTGTCACCTGCGACCAAGAGTGCAATGAATACATGTGGCAGATGTTGCCTGTTGGTACTCATGCCCACATCCACTCTTCTATAATCTCCCCTGTACTAACAGGACTAGAAATCTGAAAACCGCATCTCTCAGATTCCTTCATTGCTTTGTTACATTTAGGTTCCTCCAGCCAACCTCAAATCCTGGGTGGAACCTCAAAGACCTAGTTTTGTCCCCTGGCACCACTCCCCTCCCCAGTCATCAAGACTGGTGAAGGAACCTCAGGCAGTTCTCCTGAACCAAAGGAGCCTGGTGCCTGTCCGGAGCCACTCTATGGCTGGCCTCCCAGTGCAAAGCCCAGTGTGTCAGTTGAGCTTGTCAGTGTGCCTGCCTACCCACGAGCAAGGGGCCACAGGTCAGGAGGGGCTGACCGCAAACCAGATGAGGCCACGGGCCAGAGTCCGGGTCTACTTCCAGGGCCCCTTCCTGGGAGAATACAAGGGGGAGATGGGCTGTATTATACCCAGTTTATGGAAGAGGTCATTGAGGTCAGGATATGAAAGTTCAGAGTAAGGGTCCCCTGCTGGAGTGTGAGGCTTTTCTTTTAGTCTAAAACAAACCAGTCTCTAACCTCTGCTTGGTTGAAAAGGTAGAGGAGGAAAAGAGTCTCACCTGAGATCCAGTTGCCTGTAGCCCAGACCCACTGTCCAGGCAAATGGTTTTAAGTTTGGAGCCTAAAGCTTTGGTCCATTTATGATCAGAAAAGAACCAACAACTGCAACCTCTATCAAAACAGGGCACCATCTAGGGCTACATTCACAGAGGCTAAAGGGTAGCCAGCAGGACCACCCAGTGTTCTGCAAATGTGTTTCATGGTGCCAGGTCCCTGAGTCATTCCTTCTCCCCTCTTCCCAGCTCAACTCTGACATACAGCTGGCCTCTCTCTGTTTCCCCACCTCAACTTCATTCCTCTTCTTATAACCTAACTCATGGCAACCAAAGCCTCGTTTTCTACTGTAGTGCTGCCCAAACCACAGGAACCACAATTTGAGGGCTTCCATGGCCCTCAAATGCCAACTCTGAGCCAGTCCACGTGGCACATGAAAAGCTGTCCCCAGCCCTATTTTTCTGATGCTTTGGGGCCGAGCTGTGGCCAGTTATTAGCAGGCTGGGTCAGAGTCCCTGCTCTGCCTCTTACTTGCTGTGCAAACACAGCAGATCCTTTTCCTAATTTTGGTTCCCTGTTTCCTTCTATGTGTAGATAGTCCAGAAGAAGCCAGTTTAGGATCTGGATTTAGGATCATCTAGGCAAAAATGATGTTTGTCCCTCATCCCTCCTCTCCCTTACCTCCCACAGCCTCACTTGAGCTAGAAACCCTTAAAAGAGATGCTACTACCTCTCAATTCAGAGAAAGAAATGAGCCCAGCTGGGGTGGCTCGCGGTTGAGCATAGACCTAGGATCCAGGAGATGGCGGTTCAATTCCAGGTCAGGGCACATGCCCAGGTTTCGGGCTCGATCCCCAGTAGGGGGTGTGCAGGAGGCAGCCGATCAATGACTCTCTCATCATTGATGTTTCTCTCTCTCCCTCTCCCTTCTTCTCTTTGAAATCAATAAAGATATATATATTTTTAAAAAGTTCAAAGAAAGAAATGAGACTGTTTCACAACCAGGGCCCCTTGCTTCAAGCCAAGAAGCCCTCTGGTTTTATTGTAAGGAAAATGGGGAGAAGGCTCTGGCCCAGACTTACATCAGAAGCCCTGTTAGTGCCTGCAGCCCAGGAGGCTGTTCATTCTGTGGGGCTGGGGAAGGGCCTTGGCTGCGCTCAGCTCTTCCACATTGCTGTAGCAGTACAAATTGGGGCCATGGATGAGGTACAAGCCGGAGCCATTGGCAGAACATGAATTGGGGCCGAGGGACTTGTCCGTGCACAGGGCCCCATCAACTTTCTCATGGGGCCAAGGAAGCTCTGTCCATGTGGCTTGAGCTCCTGACTTCAGGTCCAGCCACCACAGCTGCCGTCCTGGGAAGAAGGCACCAGATATAATATGGCTTCTACATCATGGGGATCTTGACCTAACCCTTCTCAGGCCCTGATGGGGATCTATGTCATGGAGAAGGAGAACAAGCCACCCCTTAGCACCCAGATGCCCCTCACCTGCCATGATGTGGAGTCGAGAAGACCCAGGACAGATGAAGGCTGCATCCACAGCCTCAAGGCTCATCCCAGGAGGGCTCCCTATTTCCTTCTCCAGTCGTTTTGGATAACCATCTACTAAGGTGTAGCCTCCCTTTGTCAGGAAGATATACACCTGAGCACCCTAGAAGGCAAAGACGTGAATCAGCACAGAGCTGGACATCCTCCCAGTCTCTACCTCAGGTCTCTCCCCCAGCACGTACCTGGATAAGATAGAGTTTATCATCCCAGGAAAAGGCAGCATCCACTGTTAAAGGACCACGGGGCCACTGATGCTCAATGGGCCAGCTATGCCACCCATCCTTGCTGGTGTCCAAACGCCAGTAGTGGGANTTTTAAAAAGTTCAAAGAAAGAAATGAGACTGTTTCACAACCAGGGCCCCTTGCTTCAAGCCAAGAAGCCCTCTGGTTTTATTGTAAGGAAAATGGGGAGAAGGCTCTGGCCCAGACTTACATCAGAAGCCCTGTTAGTGCCTGCAGCCCAGGAGGCTGTTCATTCTGTGGGGCTGGGGAAGGGCCTTGGCTGCGCTCAGCTCTTCCACATTGCTGTAGCAGTACAAATTGGGGCCATGGATGAGGTACAAGCCGGAGCCATTGGCAGAACATGAATTGGGGCCGAGGGACTTGTCCGTGCACAGGGCCCCATCAACTTTCTCATGGGGCCAAGGAAGCTCTGTCCATGTGGCTTGAGCTCCTGACTTCAGGTCCAGCCACCACAGCTGCCGTCCTGGGAAGAAGGCACCAGATATAATATGGCTTCTACATCATGGGGATCTTGACCTAACCCTTCTCAGGCCCTGATGGGGATCTATGTCATGGAGAAGGAGAACAAGCCACCCCTTAGCACCCAGATGCCCCTCACCTGCCATGATGTGGAGTCGAGAAGACCCAGGACAGATGAAGGCTGCATCCACAGCCTCAAGGCTCATCCCAGGAGGGCTCCCTATTTCCTTCTCCAGTCGTTTTGGATAACCATCTACTAAGGTGTAGCCTCCCTTTGTCAGGAAGATATACACCTGAGCACCCTAGAAGGCAAAGACGTGAATCAGCACAGAGCTGGACATCCTCCCAGTCTCTACCTCAGGTCTCTCCCCCAGCACGTACCTGGATAAGATAGAGTTTATCATCCCAGGAAAAGGCAGCATCCACTGTTAAAGGACCACGGGGCCACTGATGCTCAATGGGCCAGCTATGCCACCCATCCTTGCTGGTGTCCAAACGCCAGTAGTGGGACCCTGTGGGGTATCAGAGGAACCTCTAGTGCTGGTGGTAAAAGGCCAGGCAGTGAAGAAGCAAGTGACAGATACAGGGGTGAATCCTGAGAGGAAGGAGAAAACGCATCCAGAGGCAAAGAGGGAAGAAGACTTGGACATAGAGAAAGACTTGGTTGGCAAGGTTGGGCATTGTGACCTGATTGGAACTGGAGCCAGCAGGGGCCTGACAGAGTCTGCCAGTGGTCCCATGCATTTGCCAGAGCTCCATGGTCTCCTGATACTTAAGTGCTTTGACTATGGCATATACTCTTGGCAGAGGTCTATATTTTCACTGCAGGTCTGTGTTTCATCACAGATGTATGGTCTCATTGCAGCATGCATTCCTGTTACAGGGATATGATCTTGTGACTGCATTTTTATTCATAGCTTGGTAGTCATATCTGATCCAATTTGTCCAGGAGTTAGGTGCAAAAAAAGGATTTTCACTACTCTCTGTTCTCACCTCTATTTGACACTTGTATCTGATCATACAAGTGACTTGGGCTGAGTATAACATGGTTGCTCACTCTTGTCTCTGAGCTGTCCTCGAGTGTGGGTCAGCACCTGTCACTAACCCCAGAGCATCCCAAGGTATCATTAGACAGCTTTTATCAATTAATGCCATAAGTGTAGAGAGAGGTGTCTCCACTGGTCACTCAAAAAAGAAAACTCCTTGGGCTAGTGAAGCTATCTCCTAAAGGTCTAAGGGACCCAATAGCTCTTGGCTGGTTTTCAGTACTGGGAACATCTCATACCCAGGTAATGCTGTTCCCAGAGGTCTGGACAGGAGCCAAGCACCTGGGAAAAGATGGAGCTCCTGAGGATAAGCTCAGGGGGCACCAGAGGACTGGGAAAGGCACAAGAGCAAAGGTAATATGAGGAGTCCTAGGGACCCAGCGAGCTCCAGAGAGGGCACAGGCATGGGAGTAGACGGTACCGGGAGGCCGGAGTTAGAGGCCTGGGCAAGGAGAGGCAAGTTGAACAATATGCATCAGAGGAGAAGAGGGATGAAAGGCGTGCTAAGGATGGAGCTGAAGGACAGAGTAAGGGACACGGTGAAAATGGAGGGAGCGTATCAGGGATGGTAGGCAGGTGAAAGGGGTGGGAGGTGTGGAGGGCAGAGATGGGGGACTTGGGGGTGTCTCACCACTGAAGACGTAGGTGGCACCATGGTTGTCAGACAGCAGTTCAGACAAGACCACATCTGGGTGGCAGCGCACCTCCCCGTACCCATGGTGGGTACCATTTCCACGGTTGGTCCTATTCCTGTTTCCGTGGCCTTGGAGGGAGAAACAGGCAAGGGGGAACAAAGACAGGCCGGAGGTCAGATGAGATCTGAGTGGAGGACATGGCTGGGTTAGTGGAGCACGGGCTTCCACCACACGAGGACAACTGGGAAGGGCCAGAATAGAGATGGGACCAGGGCAAGGGCCAGGGTCTTACGCCACAGAGGTAAGGTGGGAGCTGGGGCATAAGGATGGATTCCAGTGAGTCCCAGGGGCCGGGGCTTTCTCACCTCTGCCAGGGCAGGGCATGAAGTAGTCTCGGACATCCAGAGGGTACCTAGGAAGCACCCCTCCGGTGACAGGGTCGAAGCGCAGGAATTGGTTACCCTGGAAGCAGAAGTAGCGGCCGAGCCATCGAATGGCAGAGGAGCAGTTCCTAACGGCAGGCCAGTTACGCTCCTTTTTGGTTCTTGTAGCCAAGTCCCAGAACCACGTGTGGTTACCTTTGTCCAATCAATCAACAAGCATTCGGTGAGGCCAGTCTGTTCCCTCCTCTGTGCTTATGCTAGGCTCTAGGATGGACTAGACACGGTCCTGGCTACTTGGAGCTCACAGTCCAGCAGGGGAACAGTTGAAGAGAGTGATCATACAATAAAATCCCGCAGAAAAGTGCACCTGATCAGCTCAGCAAGGGGAGTGGGAAGAGTCAGGGAAAACTTCCCGGAGAAGGTGACCCTTAGAATCTGAAGCAGCAGTTACAAGGCGGACATGAGGGGGAGACGGAACTCTAGAAAGAGGAAAGCCTGAAGCATGGAGGAAACGGTGCACAGGGGCAGCAGAGGGCTTCTGGGGCTTCACATTCAAGGTGAGGGGATGATGAGAGCCGAGGCTGGGGGGTCAATAGGGCCTTGGTCATGGAGGACCATGTATGTAAGACTGAGGAACATAGATTTGTCCTAAGGGTCACGGGGAACAATGAGGAACTTTTAGCAGTTACACCCACTTACCTTCCCCAGGATAACTTCCTCTCCTTCCCCTACTTGACCTTGAGATCATAACTGGCCTATTTCATTCCTTCCATATAGTGACTCCACAATCACCCCCATTCCTACCACCACCAGCCACCGTGGCTCCAGCCCCTCGTTCCAGCGTGAGCTGACCTTGGAAGAACAGGATGCCCTCGTCCTTGCACTCTCCCCGGTGGCACTCCACAGCGGCGTCCACTGGGAATGGGATCCCAGGAAACACATCTTGAAGCAGCTTTGGATATTCTTCCTCTTTCTCCTCAGGAGGGTACACCCAGACTTTGTCACCCTGCGTACAAAAGCGCTTTTTACCCATGGTGCTCCCCTCGTTCCACCGTCCTGCATTTACACACATCTTTGGCCTGCTGCATGTATACAGTACCCTCTGGGAGCCCCCACACTCCCAGTCCATCTGTGGACACCAATGTGCTGTCCCCTTAAACCAGGGGGGATGGGAACCTTTGTTCTGCCAAGGGCCATTTAGATATTTATAATATCATTCTCGGGCCATACAAAATTATCAACTTAAAAATTAGCCTGCTATATTTGGTCAAATATTTCATTGAATTTATTGAATTTTGAGTCCCGCCTGCTGTTGTCGTGGCAGGGCCAGACCAAATGATATGGCCCGGGGGCCGGACGTTCCCTACCCCTGCCTTAAACAAATACATACCCTCAGTTTGTGTAAATCCCGCCACTATTACAATCACACACACACGCACACACACACATCTGGTTTGTACAATGGACACCCCAATGGCACACTTACTTTCAACACCATTAGTGTTGACAAACACATCCAAAAATAGTGGTCCTGCAGTCACTCATCCACTTATACATTCATTTGTTCATTTGTCCATTCATGTATTAATTCAAGAATGACTACTATATACCAGATATAGGGGGTTAAGGGATAAGGCTCTGTCTCTGCCTTCAAGGAGTTCTCTGTACAAATACAGAAAGGGATCCCACTGTCCCAGCCATGTAACACTGAGATGGATGTGAAGTGCACGGGGAATATAGGGGGAGTGTCTGATCTACCTAGAGAATGTCTGGAAAACTTCACGGAGGAGGAAGCATTTGGGCCAAGAATTAAAAACTGAGCAGGAATTTTCCAAGTAGACAAGTATGGAAAAGGTGTCCCCAGCAGAGGGAGCAGCACATACAGAGCATGCTCAGAGTGTCCTGTAGCTGGCATAGTGAATGTGGCGGGGGATGGGAGATAAACCTGAAAAGGTAACCAAGGGCCAGATCTTGAGAGCCACGTGCACCTGGCTTGCAGGAACTGGCACATGGTGGTGCCACTTACTGAAATAGGGAACACAGGAGGAAAGGTCAACTTGTAAGAAAGATACTAAGTTCAGGTTGGGGGGATGCACCGATGGGACATCTAAGTCGAAGATGTCTGCCAGGAAATTGGAAAGAGATGTCTGGAGCTCCAGGGAGAAATCCAGATCTGGTGCCCACACCAGAGAGAGACCTCAGAGCCAGGGCAGTGGTAGACATCACCAAGGGAGAGCATATGGAAGGGTTGGGATGGATCCCTGAGGAACATTCAGGGACTGGCCAAGCATGAAAAGCCTGAAAAGAGCAGGAAAAGACACAGGAGGGAACAAAAGCTGGCAGTGAAGACCACCCCAACCTCACAGCGCTCTGTGCAGGTTAGGTGAAGGTGTCCTTCCCCCTGGCAGACACAGCTTGGGCCAGGGCACATGACTCCATAAGCACAGTAGGCTGGGTTTCATCCATCCCTCACCCCCTGGGCCAGATGCCATTGTGTGTGAACAACCTGGGCACCACATGAAGAGGACCTGATGCAGGGTCACGGAAGCCAAGGGAAGAAGTCACCACGAAGGGAAGGATGGCCACAGGGTGAGGAGCAGCAGAGAGGTCTGGATGAAGATTGGGATGCAAAATAGCCCTTGAGGCCCGGCCGGGCGTGGCTCAGAGGTTGAGCATCGACCTAGGATCCAGGAGATGGAGGTTTGATTCCCGGTCAGGGCACATGCCCAGGTTGCGGGCTAGGCAGCCGGTCAATGACTCTCTCATCATTGATGTTTCTATCTCTCTCTCCCACTCCTTTCCTCTCTCTGAAATCAATAAAGATATATTTTTAAAAAAAATAAAAATAGCCCTTGATACTGTGCCCACCAGGCTCACGTGCACAAGCTGCCTTCGCCTGAGTTTTTTCAGGAAAGGGAGGCACAGGGGGAGGAAACCTGAAACTTATTGGTAAGGGCTTGGTGCCAGGACCACTTTGGGGAGAGTCTCTCATGTGGATTCCACCACTTCCTGGCCCGGCCCTGACCTTGACCCATCAGTACCTTGATCAGGAAGACACTGTGGCCACCAACGCGAAAGGCAGCATCCACAGAGCTGGTCTTCCACGTCTCTGAGATCAACTCCCGGTCCCACTCGTGAGCCTTCCACACGTACTCCCCTGAAAAATGCACTCACTGAGAGACCCAGAACAAAGTGTTGGCCTACTGAGATAATTACAGAGAAGCTGTGAGCGATATTCTCAGATAATTCCTAAGATTTCCCATCAATGGATATACCCTCGGTAAAAGGGACCAAGTCTGAGGTCCCAAATGCCCCAACCCCAGCCTCTCCTACCTTTAAAAAACAACATGGTTCCATTTTCACTCATAGTAGTGGCATCAAAGCTCCAGCCATCTGAGCAGAGTTCTGAGGTGGAGATGGGGAGATGACAAAGTAAAAGACCAGTCAGATGGTAAAATGCAGAGACACAGACAGATAGACACACTCAGGGTGTTGGGGCCTCACCGAGCATGTCTGGGTTCAGCTTGGTCCTAGTCCCACCTTCAGCTCCATGCCCAGAGGCACCAGTCCTAGAGAGAAGACAGAGAGATGTCTGGGTCCAATGGACACAATCTGTCTTCCTTAGCTCCTAACCCCAAACTTACCCAGGCCTGAAAACTGGCTCTGTCCCACTCTAGCCCAGATCCCAGTCCTCCTTCCCCAGCATCAACTTTACTCACGAAGAAACAGGGTGGGCAATGGCTAGAGACCAGCACAGGCCCAACAACCCCAGGGCAACTAGTGCTCCCGGTGCCCGAGCCATGCTGAGCTGGAGAGACCACAGGACAGCTCTGGTCACCTGGCTGAACCCCCTTTATAGAGATGGCAACAGTACCGCCCCCACCTCCAAGCCTGCTGGGCATGAGCTGCCTCTAAGGACTAGGCCAATATTGGCTGATTACATCAGTGTAAATAAGGTCAGGGTCCAGGGAGAAATCCGAGTCCAAAACTAACTCTTCCCGGCAGGAGGCCCCATCCCCCTTCAATGACGGTTGAGCAGTAACTTGCCTGCCCATGCCACTGATGCGAAGCTGTGGCTCTCATCGCCTTGGTGATGGATCTGGTGGCCCATAAGATCAAGGAAGTGGGTAAAGTGATTGAAGATCACCTTTCTGGGGTTAGATTTACCTCTGCAATGGGGGAGGAGAAAAGAGGAAGACACTGACCTTTTTGTGTATTAAGTGTTAAGCCCTGCCCCAAGTCAGCTAAAGACACTGATACTTATATATACTTACAACCACGCACACAAACATACTTAGAAACACTCAGAGAACAGCTATTTCCAAGTCTCACTAAGGGCCTTTCTGGGGCATTCCCAGCATCATCAGCTTTTTAAAAAATTTTTATTTTTTAATAGGACCCAGGCATGAAACAGCTCTGGCCACCAACACAGGCAACAAGCTAGCATGAACCAAGGACTATAAGTCTACTTTGCCCTTGACTGATATAAGAGCAACGCCACCAATCAGGTGTCTCCTTGCCCATTGCCAGGCGGTGTGGTGAATCTTCAGCTTTACCCTTGATAAATCAGTAAGATTTCACCGGCAATGCCCAAGTCCCACCCTGGCCCCACCCCACTGGCAACTTCACAAAAATCACCTAGGAGAAAGGGCTGACCGTAATGGCACAGGAAGAGGTGTATCTCTTCCAGAAAACACTGCTAGTAATTAGGGTTTTTTGGTAGTTTCCACATTAAGGGAAAAGTGCTTTATTTACCCATCACAGAATAAATAGAGTTCTGTAACGAATATTCTGTAACGAGTTTCACAATATTTACAGCAGATTCTTGCTCAAATGCTATCTTCTCAATGAAGCCCTTCATGATCACTTTATCCAGCCATTTTAAACCCGTGTTTGTTTCCTTTATGACACTTATTAAAATTAGAAATTATTTCATCTGCCTACTTATTTGTTTACTATTACATTTTCTCCACCACAAATAGGTACCTGGCATATAATAGGTGCTCAATAATATTTGTTGAATGAAAAATCGATCTCAAGTACTGGCTAGTGTTGCAGCCAAATTTCTGGCAATTTCCCTTCTGGGGTAAGAGGAATATCAGGGCCTGGGAGGGGGGGTGTTATGATGGGAGGCATATTGTGATTGAGGGGTCACAGGCCCCCTTGTCACTGCCCTTCATCTTAGGGTTTTGTTTCTCTTTCCTATGCATATGTTGGCCATCCTGGTGCTGGTCACAGGGCTCAGTATCTCCGCCCCACATCCCTCTCTTCCTCTTGCCCTGGGAACTCACCTATGATCTCCAGTACTTGCTATCTTCAGTACTCCCTGGGGCCTCTCCCAAGCCTGCCCCATTTCCACCTGAGACTCCCTGCTGAGGCCAAAGACAAATATAAGCAGAGTGAGCTATGGGCCAGGCTGACTGGCTCTAGGGTCCCTATTTCCCTAGCCCAGCCTGAAAGGGTCCCGATCCCTCTCACATGGCCCCATGCCCCTGACATCTCCCTATATAACCTTAGCAAAGGTCTCAGATCCCTTCTGTACTCTGCAAAGACTCTTCCAAACAGGAAAACAAAGATTTCTGGGACCTCTGGGGCAACATGTCACCAGGCTTTTGCCATCAGGGTCAACATCCTCTCCTGACTTACAAACGTGCCTTGCTGGCCTCACTCCTTCCCCTCGGTTAGTGGGCAAAGCTGGACTTCCCAAGCCCTTGGCAGCATGAGCAATGCCACGGCTCCTGCAGCAGATGCCCGACACCCACCTTCTCCCCTCTGCAGGGCTGGACCTGCTCCACCCCAACTGCTGTGCACTGGGCTCTGGAAACTGCTACGCCCAAGCTCCCGCTCACCTCCTCTTTCCCTCTCAGCCTCTTGAATCTTGTAGAACTTTCCTGGGACTCTCCCTCCTGAGCACTTTGCATCAGCAACACCCTCAACAACTGTTTTTAGCTCCAGAACTGTTTCTGTGTGCCCCTCAGGAGATGGAAGCTTTCACACCAAGTCACTAACACCCCCAGAAAACCCCTAGTGAGGGTCTTCAGTAGTCATTTCATTGGGGCTCTGCTCAGACCTGCTGGTGCAGGGGCACGGCCTCCTCTCTGGCCTGGCACGGCTCTGCAAGGGGAGAAAGCACATATACTGGATGATGGGTTTTCAACTGGGCCTTTTTTTGTTTTGTTAATCCCACCCGAGAATATTTTTTCCATTAATTTTTAGAGAGAGTGGAAGGGGTGGAGAGAGAGAGAGAAACACCGATGTGAGAGAGACACATGCATTGGTTGCCTCCAGCACACACCCTGACTGGGGCCTGGGATCCAGCCTGCAACCCAAGCACATACCTTTGACCAGGAATCGAACCCAAGGCCCTTCAGTGCANGGGGGGGAGAGAGAGAGAGAAACACCGATGTGAGAGAGACACATGCATTGGTTGCCTCCAGCACACACCCTGACTGGGGCCTGGGATCCAGCCTGCAACCCAAGCACATACCTTTGACCAGGAATCGAACCCAAGGCCCTTCAGTGCACAGGTCGATGCACCAACCACTGGCCAGGGCTGACTTGGATTCTTCTTCCCCGAATAGCTCTGGTTCCCTCACCCCCGAACTATCTCTAAAGAGGGCTTTATGACCTCTTTTCACTGTTTTCTAATTCACTTGTCTACCCTGAGATGGCTTAGATACCATTACAGGAGCCTTCCTCTCTGCCCCAGGAGTATGCTGGCAGGGTCTTCTGCATGGCAGGCACCTCAGGGTGAAGCTCAAGTTCCGAGCAGCAGCCGAGAGGCAGAGGAATAACCATTTGGAAGCCAAGTTGTGGATATGTCGTCCATCTGGTGCTGGTCACAGGGCACAAGGCAACTCTTCTTGGAGGATCCAAGACTAGGCTGGCCTTGCTTCCCTTCTCACTTGAGGTGGCACTTCTCCTTGCCCTGGAACCCTTCCCGGCTCTCTGACCTGAGCTGAAGAGAGAGTGCTTGTCCTCACTTGGCCTGAGCACCCCCTGGAGGCTGCAGGCGTCAGTGCGCTCCCAGCCTTCAACCAGAGGCCAGAGCCCAGGAGTTTTTTCCTCCCTGAAACCAGCTCCCCACCACTTTTCTCCCTCACTCCCCTCAGCCTGGCTGCAAGGCCTCATCTCTGCTGCTCAGAGTGGGTTGGGGGCCTCAGTTTGATTTCCTGGGGAATTCAAGCCCTGAAAAATCCAATGAGCTGCTTTTCCATGTAGTCTTCTCAGTACTCCTGACCAGCAGCTTTCTGGTTTCCCCCTCAGGGAGTCTGGAAGCGGGCCTGCCCATGTCTGCATGGAGAGAGCTCCCTCTTGCATTGCCAGGGGCCACATTTAAGCTGGACACTGACCCACTGTCCCTCGGAATGGCCATGTCCAGCCAGCCCTGCTGCTGACACGAGTTCTCTGACCTCAGTCATTTCCCCTGGGCCACTGAGTGCTGGGGTGCTGGGCCTGCTGCCCACGCTGTGTGCTGCAGGGAGCAGAGACTGGATCCCTCCTTCCCTCAAGCTGAGAAAGCTAAGGGGTAAAGCTTCAGGCACCAAAAAGGGCTCACTGTTCCCAAATGACTCCTTCAACATGCACATTTCTGCTTGCTCTGTCTATAACTGGCTTTCCTACATAGTCCATTCGTGCTTCTCTAGGAATAAATCATTATAATAATAATTTGCTCATATCCATGGGCACATGAATGTGCCTGGCACTGTGCTAAGCACTTGATAGGGATTATTTCATTAAATCATATATATATACATATGATAACATTAGTCCCATTTTACAAATGAAGACCCTGCCATTAGGTATCTTAGCCAAATCCCACTGTTAGCAGGTGGTAGAGCTCTGGCTTCCTGACTCCTGGGAGTGTGCTCCACAGTCTACCAAGGGCTGTGCTGGTACGTGTTTAAGAGCTAGCTCTCCAGAAGGATAAAAGGCCCCGATTTGCAGCATCTGTTCATTTCTATGGTGTAAATATTGCGGCCATCTTCAAGCTACCAACAAGACATCCAAACGTGCAGTTGGGAAGAAATGCACAGGAACATGCTACTTACGATGTGGTATTTTCACCAGGCAGATCTGATAGATGTAAATAAGCTCAAGAGCACAGGGCTTAGTAAAATGCAGCAAAATAATCAGGAAGTGATGAGTTCTGAGTTTTATTATCTTTGATTTTAACAAGGTGTGTTTAAATTTTAAGTTTTCATAAATCAAATTTAAATAATGGCTGGGTTTCAACAACCAGCTCTCAAAATTCCTGAAAAGTTGACAGTGAGCTCTTGTAAGCCAGTGCAAACCGGCATTAGGACCCCGCCATCCCCCACACTACCTTAATCAACCGCACAAGGACTTTATCGGATTTATTCGCCTCTACATCTTTAGCACCTAGCGCAGTGCCTGAAACACTGTATGTGTTTAATGAGCATTGAATCTTGTTGTTCCTACTTCCTAATTAGACCTAAACTCTGCCTGCCTTTCTGCCTCCCTCAAAGTGCAAACACCGTTTCTTGTCTAACCAGTGGAATAGCCCCTGCCTCTCTGCTTCTCCTTCCCCTCTGCAATTCCCTCTTTGTAGCAACCACCATCCTCTTCAAAAACATATCTGAAGTCGCCTTACGCACCTGCGTAAAAGTCTTTTTTTCTTGAAGATAAAAGTCAGTTTTAATTCTACTAATCAGAGGATACCACTGTTAACATTTTATCTATCCGGGCCTTTTTCTATTCTTACAACATCCTTTTAAAAATGAAGATATAATTTTATAAAACTTCTCTTTGTCTTAACAGTATATCTCAGATATCAGCATTTTTAAGGGTACATACAATTCCATTATATGCTTAAGCAGAACTTTATGTAACAACTCCTTGCTGATGGATATTCAGGTTTTGGGGAGGTTATTTTTCTATTGTAAATAAAGCTGTAATAAACATTGGCGCACACACCTTTTTGTGCCTTTGCCCAATTGTTTTCTTAGAAAATATTCCTAGAACTGGAAGACCATAGATGGTATTAAGGTATCCATGGTCTTCAAGAGGAGCAGTTTAGAGATGTTCAATTTTCTTATGTTTTTTATTCTCACTTTTCTTCCCTCCCCACAGAGCTACTGTCTAACTGCCAGTTCACCCCATAAGGCATCCTTTCATCTTTATCACTTAAACCTTTCCATGGTTTACTGTTGTACTCCAAATCCAATCCAATCTCTTTACCTGAGTTAAATGATCCAACTCAGGCCTGGCTCCAAACTTGTTTTTCTTTCTCACTCCACCTCCTTCCTCTCCAAGCACCCTGGCCTCCTTTCAGGTCTTCCAGCACACCAAGATCTTGACCCCTGGGGACCTTTGTACCTGTTCTTCCTTTGTCTGGAGATCTCTACCCTTTTTTCCCCCTTAGCTCACACAAAGGCAATTTATTAACAGCAAACAATAATTTGAGGAGTCCTGTTCACAGACAGTGACCTCAGTGACCCACCTTCCTGTGGGTGCTGTTGGAGGGGATGAAGGTGACATCCTCAACCCATCCATCTTCAGAACTTTTGGGCAAAGGTTCTGAGAGCTGATTGGGCTGCTAGTCCAGGGGTCTTGGTCCTAGCTCCTCCTGTGGCCTGGAGTTTGATGGAAGGCAGTGATGCCCAGCTCCTTGCACCTCTGGGCCACATTCTGGGCAGCGACATATGGAGAAGACCCATCTCGGTCAGCCTTTACCTTCATCTCACCAGTCACGTGGCAGATGGTTTCCTTGCCAGAAAGATCCGTGATACAGACAAAAGTGCCGTGGAAGTACATAAAGATATGGCAGACACCAAATGCATTTTCTCCTTCAGCCACCTGAGGTCTGAGGCTGATGACCTGTTCTTCCTTCTTTTCCTTCCTCCTGTGAGGTGCCATTTCTGCTCATCTTCTGCAAACTCCGCCACTGGAAAGAGAGCTCTGTTTCCTCTTCTTAACACAGCTGGTTCTCTCCCCACCCTGTCTCCCCCAACCTGCAGGTCCCTGCTTGAGGCAGCCTTCCCTGCCCACCCTCCTTAACAGCATATTCTCTATATTATTTATTGCATTCTGTTCCTTCCCAGCTTTAACACAACTGTCATTACACATCTAGTTCCATGTGTTTACTTGGTTGCCTGCCTTCCCCAGTGAACTATAAGCTCCAGAGGGAATAGGCCGTCTCTGTCTGTATTCTCAGGGCCCATCACTCTGACCCATAGTAAGTGCCCAGAAGTGCTTGTTGAATGAATAAATGAACCTGCAGGCCACCTATGGCCAAAGGGCTGTTCTGGGCACGTCCTATGCAAGCAAGGTGTGAGCCCTTTCAGGGCCACAATAACTTTCTGGCCTGTCCCAGCAGTGGCTCTGCTGCAACCCCAGCAGATCATTTAAGACCTATGCCAATTAAGCAGGCACAGTCTCCACTGCCAGGCACCACTTCCACCTACTTCTGGGCCCAAGGCTTGAATTGGGAAGAAAACGCCCACAGTGGTCAGGTCTAGGAGGAAGTGAGTGGCCCCACTATGAGACACCTTCTGCATGGCTTAGGCAGTCTACCTAATCTGGTATCTATGGGATCAGCCCCAGCAGCTTATTCTCGGACTGATAGGGGAGGCATCTGGGACTTCCCACCCAAGAAAGTTCACCATTATTGCCATTTTATTCCCCTGCTACCTTTAGGTGTCTAAAATGTAAGCACATGAGAGGTTGAGGGCTAGGAAGTTGGAGCCTCCATCCTTATGTCACGGCTGATACTTTGCACAAGATGAAGGTGCAGTGGAGGAATAGACCATCATCTGAGAGCTCTCAGGGGAGACTCCACTGGTGCTGAGTGACTGATGATTGAGCAACCATCTCTGCTGGTCCCGGATTGGCCTCACGCAATCCTACTCATAATCAGATCACAAGCGCAAGCCCTATAAGAACACTTGCTCTAGAACCTTCAGGCAGGTCATCTGTCCCTCCACCTGCCTACCAGGTCCCAATGAGTGGGGACAAAGAGGACCAGGGAGGTGAACATAACTGAGACTTCCATGTTGTCCCCCGATCTCTGCAAAGCCCCCATGGTCTTCCACAGGTCTGTGGACAGGCCCCCCTTCCTAGCCCAGGAATTGTGCTACACCAGGACAATGTCTTGAGCTTTCTCATGACCTTGCATAACTAACCTCTCAGATCCATCATTCCCCAAATCTTGCTGAGAGCCTTCTTGGCCAGTCACCACGCAAGGTGCATGGGACATAAGAATAGATGCTACAACTTACCAGTTAGGAATACAACAGCTACAGATTCAGGTCTGGGCTCTGCTCTTCATCAGCAATACACCCTATTTCTCTAAGCCTCAGCCTTTTGTAGAGAGCGAGAATCATAGTCCCTACCTCCCAAATTACTGAGTGCTGGTTGTCATTAGCTCTGGAACTGGCAGACTAGAGCTCAGTGGGGGGTGCTAGAACCTTTGTTCCATGTGGGAAAATGGCAGCAATCTTGGAATGGAGAGCAGGAAGATGAAACAGGGCTCCAGGGTCCCAGGGCTTCCAGGTCAAACTCTAAAAATTGGCCATGGAGTCTTCCACACCCAGCTTCTACCTGGGCTAGCCCAGGTCTCTAAACCCAGGCCTGGGCCTCAAGGATTGCTGTCAGACCCTGACTGTTCTTCCTGCAGGTGCTGGCTGTGTTCAGAACAAGGGTCATTTCCCAGGTTCTTCTCAGCAACAGAGCAGGTAGACAAAGGACTTGCTATTTCTGCACAAGATTCAGGGCCTGCAGATGGGGATTTGGCAGGTGGCTCGGGAATGCAGGGGTTCACCCTCCCTTGCTCTCCTCTCCTAAAGCTTCAAGACAGCAGGACCCATTTGGGAATCTGGGTGCCATGCCTGTCCACTTGTCTTTTAGTCCATAGCTAGTCCCACCATCCCATCCCCTCAGCCCCACCCCACAAGAAAGCAACAAAACTACGTGGCAAACACATTTATTTAATATGGGGGTGGGGTATTGCTGTCTCTGTCAGTGTGTATGGGGTGGCAGGGAGACAACCAGAGGGACTTCTGCTCTGGAGTAAGAGGCTGTTCTGGCCCCAGGCTGCAGGGTGGGGAGCAGACTGAGGGGACAGGGAAGGTGTGTAAAGGGGGTAGGGTGAAGCTCTGCACACATCCTTGGGACCACAGTCCAGGCCCACCCAGTCACCAAAGCAAGAACCGAATAAATAAAGTGCAACCGTGGAGGTGGGAGACGGGGAGAGGGAGGGCACTGGGCACACCCATGCCCACAGCCCACATTCAGCGCTGCCAGGCCTGGCCACCTGCAGGCCAAACCCTCCTGTCCAATCACCCCTATGTCCGTCCCTCCATGAGCCAGCAGGGCCCCTGTGCAGCTACTGGAGGTAGCGATAGGCCTTAAAGCAGTGGTTGCCAGCATCGGCCACCACCACGTGGCCATCCGAGGTCAGCGCCAGGCCCTGTGGGCCGTACAGTGGCTCTGCAGATGTGTTGATGTAGGACAGGAAGGAACCAGAGCTGTCGAATACCTGGGGAATGAGTGGAGAATGAAGGAGAGCTGAGATCAGGCCAATGAGATGTATATTTGGGGGGGGAGGGGGGTTTGCACTGGGCACAGCAGGAAACCACACCTTTATGCCATCCCTGGGCCTTACTCACCTGGATGCGGCTGTTGCCCCAGTCAGCCACGATGATGTTCCCATTGGAGTCTACAGCTACTCCCGTGGGGGCGTTGAACTGCCCGTTGCCCTCGCCATGGGAGCCAAACTTGAAGAGGAACTCTCCGTCGGCACTGTACACCTGCAGGGCAAAGGGCTGGGGACTGGGGACCTGGCCTCAGGCAGAGGGCAGGGTCTTGGAGGAGGGTGGGGTGAAGCCCCAGATCTGCAGCTATAGTCTAGTTTTTCCCAGGCTTCCTATCCATGCACCCCACTGCTACTGGACGTCTCCAGCTGATGTCCCTCAGACATATCCAATCTAAAGCCCATCTTCCCTGGGAAAGCAGTTCTGACTTCTCTTTCAGTGACTGGCAACACCCATTTGGCCATGAGTCATTGTCAACTCCACCTTCTCCTCTGCTTGACAGCCAGTGAGTTGACACAATTGCCGATTCTCTCTCAAATCTGTACCCTATTAAGATATTGCCACTGCAATGGTCCTTATCTGGATTATTGCAAAAGAGTGACCTTCCTGCCTCTAGTCTTGCCCCGGCCAGAGCGATCTAAGGCACACAGGACTGTGTCACCCCGCCTGCCTGTAATCCGGCAGTGACTCCCCATAGCTCTTAGGCAGAGAGCAAGCTCCTTAAAGGACACACAAGGCTTGTCCTCACGAACCCAGTCTGAACTACTTGTAGTTTCTTGAACTACAGTCCTCAGCTCCTCTGGTCCCCTTTGCCTCGAATCCTCTCCTGTTCTCTACCCTCTGGTTAATTCCCACTGATGCCTTAGGTCATTCTCAGTCTCACCTGAGCCAAATGCTTCTACTATGCCCTCACATTTCCCTACCCTTCCTCATCACAGAATCTATCACATCATATTGTAACATGCCAGGCAACTCTTCTCCACTAGACTATAAGACAACAGGGAAAGTATCTGCTTCATCCATCACTGTATCTCCATCATTTCTAGCACAGTATCTGAGTCAAAGTAGTCATGCCATAAATGTCAAATGAATACTGGTCAAATGAATGAGCTGAAGGGGGGGGAAAAAGGAGGCGAGGGAAGACACTCACCTTCACTGAATGGTTATGGAAATCTGTCACTACAATCTCATTCTTGTTGTTCACAGCCACAAAATGGGGCCCTGAAAATATAAAGTGGTCTCTAGGGCAGTAGTTGGGATACTGAGTGGGATGGTGAAGGATATCTGAGATGATAAAGCTAGGGTGTTAGGAGAAGGGTGGGGTCTCTGGGATGATGGTGCTAAGGTACAGTGAAGGGAGGGGGTTCTCTAGGGCCCAGACACAGGAGGAGGGGCCTTTAGAGCTGGAGTTCCCAGGGGGTCCTCTGGGATTGGAGCATCAGAATAGATGTCTGAGTTGTCTCCCAATACCTGCAAAGTGACGGTCAGTGGCCCCACGGCCCCCAAAACGGCCAACCAGCTTTCCATTGGGTTGGAAGGTAAAGACACAGCAAGACTTGTTGTCGACCACAATGATATGTCCATTACGGTCTACGGCCACCCCCTTGGGGCCCATGAGACGGCCAGCTCCAATCTTGGTCTGGAGGAAGGAGATACGTTTTAGGGCCTTCATTCTGCCTGGTGGGGAGAACAGTCCCAGCCTTGCACCAAAGCAGAACCTTGGGCTGGGGATGGACCAATCCAAGCCTGACCACCAGAGGGCACTAGAATGGTCACTTCAGCTGATCAACAGGGTAAGGTTCTCACCTTGAACTTGCCCTCAGGGGAGAAGATGCTGACCCAACGGTTGTCATAGTCTGCCACAATAATGTCTCCGTTGGTGTCCACTGCCACACCTGTGGGGCGTTGGAGCTGCCCTGGTGAGCGCCCTCGGACCCCAAAGCGGAACTTGAACTGGCCTTCGTTGGAGAAAACCTGGAGCACAGGATCAAGGGAGGGAGGGGGAGGAGGGGAGAGACTGTGGGCACAGAGAGAAAGGAGCAGGATCCTGAGGGAGGAGACCCCCCCCATTCATTCAGTCACTCAACAAGCACCAATGACACCGTGTCAGGAGCACAGAGAAGAATTAGACATGGCCTCAGACAGCAGACCTAGGGGACACGCAGCAGAGGTGTAAATGGGACTGTATGAATATGAAAAGGGTGAAGGAAGTAGTCAGAAAGGGCTCCAGGAGAAGAGGAGATCTGAGCTCATAGCCAAAAAGGATGCCGGGATATGAACTGAAGTTGGCCAAAGAGGCAGGAGGCAAGGCATAAGCAGAGTGGACAGTGTGTGAAAGGCAGAGTCCAGCATGGGCCCTGCTTATCCGTGAACAACAGGGGTCAGGTTTTATCCTGGATGTAATGAGGACTCACTGAAAAATTCTGGGCAGTGGAGTGATGAGATGAGATTTGCATTTGTGGTATAAAAAATGTATTTGGTCACTGCCCTCAGTGCCTGGCACAGAGTTCCTCAAAACCCAGGAATTTCCTGAGTGATAGGAGTGTCTTTTGTCATTCAAAGGAGCTCCTTTTGAGTTTACGCTTCAGCAGAAGGCCCCTAGATAGCCTCAGGATGAGGCTGGTCATTAGAGAGACAAAATGATTGAAGGGCTGGAATTTACAGCCCCACCCACCAACCTGTGGGAAGGTGCCTGTGGTAAGCACACACATTAAGCTCTAAAGAAACTCTTGAATGAGATTCGATGAGCTTCTGGGTTGATACTGAGAGAATGGTGCAACCCAGTTCCACAGAGATGGAAATTCCTGCACTAGGGACTCTTCCAGACCTCGCCCTATGTCCATCTTCATCAAGCCATCCATCTGTATCCTTTATCAAGTCCTGTACAGCAAAGTGGTAAACATAACCCAATGTTTCTCTGAGTTCTGTGAGCCCCTCTAACTAATCGAACCCAACGAGGGGGTTGTGGGAACTTCCAATTTATAGCAGGTCTGTCAGTGCATTGGTGACAACCTGACTTGTGACTGGTGTCTGAAGTGGGGGCAGTCTTATGGGACTGAGCCCTTAACCTGTGGGATGTGACGCTATCTCCAGGTACATCGTGTCAGAATTGAGTTGAATTTGGAGAACACCCAGTCAGTGTCCACTGGAGTTGGAGGACTGCTTGGTAGTGTTGGAAAAAACACCTTGGAGCTTCTAAGAAAGAGCACTCTGGGTGCAGGGAGGAGTCAAGACTGGAAGCTAGCCAACCAGTCAGAGGCCGCACAGCGTGCAGGTGTGAAATGATGACGACCTGGTCCAGGGCACTGCTGGCCGGCAGCCGATGGACTCAAGAGCCATAGAGTAGGTAGATTCAACCAACTTGGCAGCAGACAACAAAGGGGTGGGGGTGGGGGAATGGACAAGGATGAGCCCTTCTAGGCTATGGGGCTGACAAGGCAGCCTTCCTCATGGACAGTTAACCTTCCAGCCTCTTGCCTCTGCCTCCTCCGCCTTAGCGCCCAACATACTCAGGTCTCCCCATCCTAGAAGTACCTCCTTTGTTGCTCTTTCCTCTACAGCAGGGGTGGGGAACCTTTTTTCTGCCAAGGGCCATCGGGATATTTATAACATCATTTGCAGCCATACAAAACTATCAACTTAAAAATTAGCTACGAAAAATGCTCCTAGATTTATTGAATTTCAAGTCCCGCCTGCAGTCACCTTGGCAGGGCTAGATCAAATGATTTCTTGGGCAGTATACGGCTTGTGGGTCAGATCCCACCGCTGCTCTACAGCTAAGCCTTCTTGCTGCTGCTTCTTTGCAGCCAAGACATCACTCACCACTTACTGCATAAGTCTCACACCCTGCTTTGTTATAGGCTCTGGGGACGTAAGATGAAGCAGAGCCAGGAGCAGCCTTGGATAACTCAAGTTTTGGGTCTTGGCCACAGCACTCATCCAGACCTGCTTCCTCCACAGTGGAATGGGCCCCCTGTCCCCACCCCATCCCCATCTCTTAGGCCTGCAGGGCTGTTTGAATTGGTCCCACCAAGGGACATCACTCCCTCCTAATGCGGACCATCCACCATGCCCTCACCTGTTCTGCTCTGGTCCCCTGTGGTGGGACAGCACTTGCTAGCATGAGAAGGAAGGGATCACGGACTGGAGAGTTGATGTGAGAGAGACTAAAAGGTCCCCCCAGGTAAGCAGTGAGATTATGTCTGTGCCTCCTCCAGTCTGAGCAGCTCGGTTTCCAACTCGAAACTGATGCAGCTTTGGGGTGGGGGGTGGGGGTGTTACTCTTCCTCTCCTATCTCATGTACCCCTTACATCTGGCCAACTCCTATTCACCTTTCGATTCTCAGAATTTCCAGGTCACTTATTCAGAGAAGGCTTTAATGACCAACTCACCCCCTGAATCAATGTATACACATACAGTTAGGTCTCCGTGATATACGCTTTATAGCTCTCATACAACCATCACTTCTGTAACTAAGAATGTGAGTTCCAGACGGGGCAGGAACTGTGTCTGTTCTTTGCTGCTGCATTTGCAGCAACTGGCACATAGCAGACATTTGACAAATGGGTGAATTCCTTAGCTCAATTTCAGGCCAGAGCTGGACATCTCCAGTTGTATGCCACACAGCAATTTCAAGCTCAACACATGCAAAAGTCAATTCATCAGCTTATACCTAGACCTGCTCCTGAACAGCAACACCACCTACCCAGTGCACCAAGTCCTGCCATTCCTGATCCCTCCCTTTCTCTTGACATCTGATGGCTCACCAAAACCTGCCCTATTAGCTTCCTTAAGATCTCTAGAATCTGCTGGTGCCTAGTTTGATCTTTAACATCTCTCTGCTGTATCACAGTAGCATTAAGTAACTTTGGGATCTGAGCCTAGCGGGGGAGAGAGACTAAAACAAAATAAAATGAACCAGTGATCCTCGTAAAGTATGAAAAGTGTTACAGCAAAAGGCTGAGGAGCTCTGAGGAGAATATGATTAATATTCTGCCTGAAGGAAATGAGCAAGTTCCAGAGCAGAAATGATAAATTTCTGGACTAAGACAATTACTCAAATGTCAAATCAAATATACAAATCGAATTCTTCACTCAGCCTTCACCATAGACGGGCCCAAAGGAGGAACAGTTCATGAGGAGCCCAATCCTCATGAAATGAGGGGTGCAGATCGCAGTCCATGTGGGAGCCGAGCCCATACCAGGCCTGAAGCCCCCGAGTAAGAGAAGCAGAAACTCAGCTTTGGAATCTGAGTCAGGCTCCTAGTATCTAGGAACTTGGGGTGCAGGTGGGAGTGGGAGCAAAGAGGACTGCTATAGGACTAGCAAGTGTTTGGAAGGCAGGGGCGCTATACCAATTCTGCACCCTTTCAATTCTGCACCCTGAAACAGTGGACAAGCACAGCCTCTCATCGGAGAGACCAAGTGGCACATGTCATTCTGGGCATGCGAGCACATGCATGTATGCACACCAAGAAGGTTTCTCAAATCTCAGCATTTGTGCCAGAAAGCACCCCTGGCATAAGGAGCAGGGGAAGAGTTTGAGGGTGGAGGGAGTGACTGAGTAGGGCCTCAGCATCACCCCCACTCCCTGTACCCCCCCATCCCACCTCCTCCTTACTATCTTGTGCTGTACCGGGCCTCTCCATTCCTCCGCTCCCAGGAACAGGGTGGGGATGAAGGCTGGCTGGAAATACGGGACTGGGAATATGGTCATGGGAGGGCTCCTGGTAGGTGGGAAGCAGGGGCCAGGGAAGATGTGACACTGAGGTGATGGACCTCTGGCAGAGCTGGATCTATGATGGGGTACTCATGATAGGGTACTCAGGCAGGTCATGAAGAAGTATGAATGTATAGGTGTTGAGAAATAAGGATCTTCGGGGAAAAGTTTTGCTCCCTGATAAAGTGTTTCCAAGAACTGAAGCTCAGGGCAGATACAAACAATCCAGTACAGGATAAACTCAGTGTGACCTCAGTGACTTGGCTCCTAATAGTAACCTACCTCCAGCTCCTCTGGGATCCTTCCAGTTCCCTGAACAACCCCCTCCCGCACTCTCCCACCTCCTGGTTTTTTTGTTGACAGCCTCCACCTGGACAATGATATTTTTAACTAACATTAGAAGGTTCACTAGGTGTCGGGCATGGTACATTATGCCATGTAATGCTTCCAGCAACCCTCTGAGGTATTCTTTTCCTAATTTTACACATGAGTTCACTGAAGCTCAGAGAGGTCACATGGCTTGTCAGTAAGTGGCAGAGCTAGGACTCAAGCCCAGGTGTCTGGTTTCAGAGTCTGAGCTGTGAACTGCTCCGCTGTGTCTACCACACTGGGCTCTGGGTTTACTGCAAGGAATAAACAGAGAAAAACCACACTTTCTGGCTTTAAAGAGCTTGAAGTGCAGCAAAGGCCATGTCCATTTGTGTGGTGGATGCTCTAATCAGGTGTGTGAGGGTCTGGGAGGACCAGGGGCAGCACCACCGGTGAGTGTACACTACAGTCTAGCCACTGAAGATGCCCCTTTTCACAAGGTAACCCCATTTGACTGTCTAGTTGACCAGATGTTTGCAGAGACTGGTGCAGACAAGATACATTCTGGAGTCAGAAAGGTATGTTGGAACACAGCAGGAAAGGGCAGAGCCAACATCCTGACCACATGGTAGTGAGAAGGGAAGAAAGTGAGCCAGTCATGGAGGCTCAAGTGGAGGCAGAGGGGAAGGAAGAATGAGCCAGATCTCTGGGGTACAGGAGCTGGTCTGGGCTGAGCCAGGCCTGGGGGGTGGAAGCCCCCGGCACAGTCAGCGCCGGAGCCTAACTGTGACCGCAGTTCCTGGTGTGGCCAGTGGGGGCGCGGTTGCAAGTGGGTGAGTGAAGGGCGGTGCCGTGATTTATGGCTCTCTAAGGAATGGTACTATGTCAGGAGGTGACCTATACAGCCTGTTTTTTTTTTTCAGGCTATAGCTGAAGGGCCTTTATTTGGTGTTGGGGGAGCTGGACAGGTGCTCACCTGAATACATTGGTTGTTGCTGTCTGCTACAACTATGCGGCCGCTGCTAGCTGCGGACACACCCTGTAAATTGGTGAATTCGCCCTTCTCCCTTCCACGGCTGCCTGTGGGAAAGGGATGGGGGGGGCAAAGAATTCACTCGCAGGTCATTTTGAAACCCCCTTCCCGCTCCGCCCCGCCTCCTGCCTGGGCCCGCCCCTGCCTGGCTCCGCCCCCCGCCGTCTGTACCAACTCGGAACACCAGCTCATCCTCAATGGGGTTGTCCTTCCGCTTGCCGCCTGTGCTGTACATGGAGCTGGGCCTCCGCACCGCCTTCTGCCGCACGTGGCTGCCGGGGCCACCGGGGGACTTAACCCGGCGCTTGACGTCGTCGGGCGAAGGCGGCAGGTCCCCAGGACGCAGGGCACGCACGCGGAAGGGGCTGCCGCGCACCGGCTGGCCGTAGAGCAGCACCGAGAGGAGCAGCTCGCCCTCGGCGCGCGCCGTGTACACCAGCTCGTACGTGCCGTTCTTGTGGTCCACCACGGGCACGGGGAGGCGCGCGCCGTCGGGGCCCGTGAGCTCCGCGCGCAGCTCGG